ACCAATTTATGCGTCTTAACAAAACAAAGACCCAGCCAGTAAATCAGATCCTGGGGTGTCAGGTGGACCCAATAATATTTGGTACTTTCTAAATCTATAGACCTACCCTAGCCTCTTGACACAGTGTCATAAACAGCTTCGTGAGCTGGTCCTAGGGAGGGACTTAACACTCCAAGCCCTTTCACCTCAATAAAAACTGGTGCCAAGGTAAAAATAACTGTTGTTCTCATTCTCACTCTAGAAACAACAGCTTTCAGCCTATTGAAAGTCCTTTCCTAATAAACTTTACTATCATTTTCACTACAAAAACAAGGTTGGGGGGGTGGCTAACATTGGAGGGCACCTGCATAGCAAGCCTGAGACCCTTAGTTCAATCCCCAGTACTGCCAATAAAATAAAATAAAAGGTAGGGTTGGAAATACCTTGACAAAAATAGTTAAGTACTGTTTTTAAATATTAGTTAAAATATTGGCTCACTACACTCTCAGTCATGTTGAAAATGTCCGTAACAAAGTTTTTAAAATAACTTTTGGAAAAGAAATGTTCTGATACAATCTTAACTTGGTTAGAAGAAACACAGTGCTTCCTTAAAAAAAAAAATCAGAAGTGTACAATTAAGTAAAAAAACAAAACAATCTCCTGAGAAAGTCTGAAGCTAAGGCACCAAAACTTTAACTTGGAGATTTATCAAGGTACACACAATAATGGATTCTATATCCCAGAAATAAAACGTGAATGGTTAGTGGGACATGAACTCTAAAGCATTATTAATTAGAACTACTTTTCACCAAAAGCAAGAAAACAGAAAAACAGGCCCAGAACCACTGAGATTGTTTCCAGAGTTCTGGTTAGAAAATTTATAATTGATAGCACTCTGGCAGATTCTAGACTTATTCAAGTATTTATCATAAATAAAAAGAAAGGCTACTTACTCTGGAGATTCCATATTACAAACACAACTAATACTCTTTGCACAGAAAATTATACTTCTAAGCAATCAAATTTTCATTTCTTTACTTATATGTAAAATTTGACCATTTCTTTCTCTGTATTTAAAAAGAAAACCTGCAAGAGATGCACAACCTTAACTTCTAGTGAGCCTGTTTTTACAGTAAAGAAAATGATTTAATAATTTTTTCTAAAAAGCAAAAAGATTATATTTAATGAACAGGTTCTTGGTACACCTCCACTCATAGACACTGATGTTCTTTGTGTTCTCTCAATCCTATCCCACATACTAAAGAAATGAAAGGTTAAATCTACATTTAAGTATATATGGCTTAAAAATAAAGCATCTCATAAATCCTAAGAATAAGATGCAGTTTGAAAAGATAGTAGACTGTAAACAAAGGGTCTAAATTACAGTCTTAGCACTCTGCCATTAACCAACTCCATAACTCAAAACAAGTCACTTAATTATCTCAAATGTTTCATGTAAAATTTATTTTCATTCATTCAATAAGAATTTATTGAAGTCTACAATAAATGAGATTTTGTGAAACAGCAAAGAACAAGACAGGTAAGCTCCCTGTCCCACTGCAAGGATTAAATAACCAATTACAGCAAAGGAGGGCATGTGGTATAGTAAGAAAACTGGAAGACTATAGGTCCACATCTGATTGTAGGAACCTAAAAAGTACCCAGGATGCCACTCCAGTCGTCTGTCATTTTCATATCCATTACCCCTTCAAAGGTCTCCACTCCTCTCTCCTGCACCACTATACTATTCCAGCTACCAATCTCTCCTGGTACACTACAATAGTATCCTCAACTGGATAAACTCATGCACTATGGCTCTCTTCATTCAATTCCCATACTACAGTCAAAACAAGCCATGAAAATGTAAATCTGATTGTGAGTGCCAGTCTGTCCTTACTGCCAAATCAACTGCTTTCCACTTTTTCTGCAAGGCATACCTATTTGTGCAGCTCTCCTTTCTGCATGATGCTTTTCTCTCAATGCTGTAGTCACATTGGTCTTCTATTATTTCTAGGCAATTCAAGTCCTCTCCACAGTGCCTTTTCTAATACAAATCCACCCCTCCTTTACTTCTTGGTAATAACTTCCACTCACCCTTTCATATTTAGTTCAAAAGTTGTTTCTTTAAATAAAGGTACCTTTATTATTAAATCATCCATCTCTATCAGAGTGCCATAGGCTGTGTACCTCTCCTTTATGTAACAGAAGAGGTTATCATAGGAAGAGTACTATAGGATATATGAACCTATCTTGGCAGAATTGGAGATACCAGAAATGGTGACTTGTGAACAGAGTCTCGAGGAAGAATAAAAGGCATGTGGACAGAAGGGCTATACAGGCAGCTGTATAGTTTAAAAAATGAGGTAATTCTATGTAAGATAAGAACTGGGAATCTGGCTTATCCCTTCTCTGTGACCCCAGTACCCTTACACGCAGTGGAAAATACAGTAGTTGTTCACTGTGTATTTGAACTACCCTACATGACTAAGCAGTATTTTCTTAAAACAAATTTAGCTACTGATATTTGGAAAAACATGCTCCTCACAATTGATATTTATGCAACTAAAGAGAATACGATAAAAAATGGGTACCATCCTGTTTGCCAACACTGGGATTTTAAAGAAATTTTACACAAATAACATTATTTTTGTTTTCTGTCCTTTCCCCTTTAGTGTTGATATAACAGGGAATAATTACATATAATAACAAATGTTGTCATTGGTATTTTAATACTAAGAGTCCTTAAAAATTTAACCCAGGAATCATGACAGTTCAGAGTATTCTTATATTCAAATAATTTTTACGCATTTGCTAAAAACAAATCTTCCCTACAATAATCATCCTGAAATGTCTTACTTTAAAATTTGCATTAGGTATTAATCAGCTGGATTATAGAAATTTTTCTCATCTTAAAATAATGAAGAATTCTGTAACTACAAGTGACTGAAGTAAGGCCTTTGGGACTAACACTCTGTGACTGGAAAAAACTGTGAATACATTTCTCCAATGTTAGATATGTGGAGTTGTCAGAAATGTTGCCCATATAAAATAAATTACATTAGAAACAATGATACTCCAGTAGCAATAAGCACACCTATTACCCAGATCTTAGTCTTTAAACAAAAGGAAATAGTGATCCTAATGGGAAAACAGTTGATGGTAGAACTAGAAAATATAAGATAAGCCTAGAACATTTTATGATTCCAGAAAGGAAGAAAATACTCAAAAAAAAAAAAAAAAAGGGAGCTTGTTAAAGGAACTGAGGAGCCAACCTGAAGGAAACCTAATAACCAAAACTAGAAACATTTGAGTAGCAAAATAAAAAATGGTAGCATTCAATTTTAATATGTACAATAAAATAAAGATCCACGAGTCCATTCTGATATTTTTAAAATGGGAGATAAGGGACAGTTCTTCCTTACAGAGTCAAATGAATACTGCAAAAAAAAGGGAAACAGAAAAATTACAGTAGGCAAACATTATCATAATAATAACTACACACAAGACTCACAAGAGGATGCTAAAATTAGTGGGGAAAATGTAAGATAGAGCTTTGCATAGTGTTTTATCTTCCCCACAAGAAAACAGAACTAGAGTACTGTTACCGTGGAAAGACTCACAGACACTATTATCACCAGCACTAAGAAGAATCATGAGCCCACTAATGTGATGCACTTTAGCAGGACACAAAATGTATGACCGCATCCCAATTTTGAAAGAACTTCAGAAACCCAGATTGAAAACATTCTACAATTTAATGTGTAATCTTTGAAGTGTCAAAGTCATAAAAGAAAAGAAAAAATAAACTAACCAACAAGCCCCCACCCTCAAAAAAAAAAAAAACACCTCAGGAAGAGATTGCAGGAGACTAAGCAAACAAATGCAATCAATGTAAGATGCTGTGTACAATCTAAGAATAGAGAAAGGGGACAGCAGAAAAACTGGCAGGATTCAAATAAGGTCAGTATATCTGTTCCTAATTTTGATCATTTTACTATATTTTCAAAAGGTATCAGCATAAGGTAAAAGTAGTTGAAATGCACACAGGAATTCTCAGTATTACTTTTGCAAATTTTCTGTGTGTCTAATTAGTTCAAAATAAAAAATCTTTAAGAAACTACATTAAAAAGGTAAATTAAAATCTATAAAAACAGTATGGCAAACAGAAATGTCTTTTTTGTTTGTCTCATGACTGTAGCTCCGATTTAGCATGCTGCCCACACTGACTCAGAGCCAGGATATAAGGAGATTAGAGGTAGCAGAGGTGCACATTACATAAACCTACTGGGAAAGAGGAGCACCTATTATAACAGCTTTCTAAAGGCTTGTTCCTGTACTTCAGGAAGAAAACGCACACTTTGTTCATAGATCCCGTAAAGATAATCTCAAGTGAAGAAACAAAAAGAAGTGGGGGATTAAAGGATTGGGGACTGAGAGGGGAAAAAAGGAGGGAAAATGACAATCATTTGCCAAGAAGATTCCTTACAATGTTTTCATTTGCGTAGATGATAGAATATTCATTGGGAAAAACAACTGAAATCTATAACTTTATCAATATTATTTGACCAGTATTAATTTGACACCTTACATGTTTCCAAGTCTCATGACTTGATGATATTCCTACTTTCTAATATCTTTATAGAAAGTAAGACTCTTATTTCTATTTTCATATTAGTTCAGCAAATAAGCAATATAACGTACAGCAAATATTCCTGTCACTAATCAAACCAGAGGCAGAGGAAACTCAAAGCATTCAGAGGATAATTTGAGAGGATGGAAAAAATATCAGCATTGCAATAACTAAGATGAAACCTTAGTTCTGTGACTTACTGGCTCCTGGATTCCAAACAAGTACTTTACCTCTATGAACCTTAATTATCTTGCCTTCAAAACAGTAAAAACATCACTTAACTCACAATAAAGATGTATGTAAAATGCTTAACCTCTGGCAAATCAAAAAATATTGGTTAGTTCCATCTTTATCTATTTCGCTGTGAAAGAGGTGTTTTCTGCAAACGTACCGATTGAAGTTGATATCTGGGTAACTAGAATACTCCGATTTCATCTTAGCATTTCGTCGGGGAAATGTGCAGAAGAAAGCATTAGCTAAAAGACTGGCAATCTGTTCCTGCGATATTGTAATGGAATGATTCATCTTCTGTTTCAGGAGTGGTATTGGCTGATGAAGGAAACAAAAAATATAGACAAGAAAAGCAATAATTAGTTTAGTAATTTCGAAAGCAGAGGCACCAAATTACATTTGTTAAATTAAGGCAGGGATAATTTCAGGCCTGAATCCTTAAGTCAGCAATATTATTAAAGTCAAAGGTTGCTGCTTATCAGAGATGATCGAGAAAAATGTACTTCTTCGACAAAGTGCAGATTTCTAATCAATAATGAGGATACTGAAGAAAACACAAAACATTACTTACTAATGAAAAACGAGATTGCTTTAGCAAGTAAATAGAAACACATTATCCATGTAATGAAAAACTAAAACAAAAGATGAAACAAAAATACTGGCATTATTGTTTATGTTAAATTCTGTTCTTATATTAAAAATAGGTGGACAGAGCAATTGTACTTAGTCCTAAATAAAATGATCTTACATAAATGGTTCAATATGTAAGTATATAAATAAGTATATTCCTTCTCTCTCTTTTTTTTTGGGGGGGATACTGGGGTTTGACTTTGAGGCCTTTTAGCTAGACAAGTGCTCTACCACTTGAGTCACTCTGTTAGCCCTTCTTTGGTGTGTGTTGGGTATTTTCAAGATAGGGTCTCATAAACTATTTGCCCTGGCCTGGCCTTAAACCTGTGATCTGCCTGATTTCTCCCTGCTGAGTAGTTGGATTAAAGGTGTGAGCCACTGATGCCTGACTTTTTTTTCTTTGAAGTTTAAACAAGGATGTATTTTAGTATAACAGGATAAAGTAGGGAGAAGTGGGGAAGGGAAAGAAAAACTGCATTTTTTTCTATGGAACAGAAATATATATAGTGTTAGAATAAAAGTTTGATAGAAGGAAGAAAAGGTTAAATTTACAGTTCAACTATTTCTCTTAGAAAACTTCAAAGGTAAAGAACTGAATATTCTCACTATGGTATCCCTTCTTTCAGGCTTCAGTCATCACCATTTCTAAAAGGAAACTGATCTCCATTTCCTGTCCTAAACATTTATTTACCACCCAACTATGAAGTTACAGAAGTTGACAGAGTATCAATGGCTTAAAGCAAATTACTACTTGGTATTAGTGAGAAATGAGTTTTTAACTACCATTCACCATATTATCCTGAAAAATTATTTCAAAAATCAATTAAGAATATTTCAGACTTAATGGACTTGAAACACAAACATTTCCTATCCCCTAAATAAACACAGCATAATTTTAAAAAGAATAAATGATTTCTGCTCTCATGGTGAAGAGAAATGTCTAGAAGCTAATATTCAGGAGAAAGCTAGATAAAATAAGAGACTGGTTACAGTGAACCAAGATACTTTTCCAAAATTGATTTCCTTTTTTCTTTACAAATCTAAAATTTACTTTTTAGATTTGTCCTACAGAGCTTTAATGTGATAAATCATTAAATACCAAAATATACAATTTACCTTGTTAGAAATGTATTTTCATTTCAAATTTAAATCTTAACTTTAACAACAGTTTGACTTTTCAGTATAGGACAGAACACAGAATTAAGATGTTCTTGGGCCAGGTATGTCTGTAATCCCAGCATCCAGAAGGCTGAGGAAGAGGGAGCATCAGTTTGAGGCCAGCCTGGAGGGAGAGAAGGAGGGAAGGAGGAAGGGAAGGAGGGAAGGAGGGAGGTAGGGAGGGAAGGAAGGAGGGAGGGAAGGAGGGAGGGAAGGAAGGAGGGAGGGAAGGAAGGAGGGAGGGAGGGAGGAAGGGAAGGAGGGAAAATTCATTCTCCCAATTAATATACTAATAAAAGAACAAAGTTGTTCTAAGACAGGATGAAAAACTGAGGAGTCATTAATTTGACTGGGTTCTACCAAGTGACTTACAGCTTACAAATTTATATCCTTTCAAGCAATAAGTATCTCAGTAAATAAAATAAGGAAACTTTCTTTCCAACAGCCTGAGGGGATGAGAGGAAGCATTTAATCAAGCACCACACAAAGATCAGATTCACAAAGAGGATCTCCCTCCAGGAGAAAATAATCTAGTGGAAGGAGATAAGCAAAGTCACAACTTAAAAATAATGTGGGAAGTATGGCTTGAGTGCTACAGGCTTGGTTGGGGAAAACAGGGAAGGCTTTCATAAATGACTAGCAAAGGCAGGGATAGAGGGTGATGAGAGATTTCATTAGGTAAGGACAGAATGAAAAAAGAATGAACATGGAATATAAGCAAACAAATACCTTCCAACAGAAACTACAGAAGATGTTTTAAACAACAGAGATGTTTTAAAATATATTTTCCGGCCTAATAGTAAATACATTACTGAGGTGAAATTAGTAAAATGCCAGTAAATGTGGCATACTGAAAAACATTCACTGGTTCTTGACTAAGGTGACAGGACCTCAAGTAGGCCTTTGGACAGGTGTGGGGTATTTTTGGTTGCCCCCATGACTATGCTTTCAGTGTAGGGGTGTGCAATGAGAAGGACAATCCTCACATTCAGAAATTGTTACACCTAAAATGTCTATAGGGCCCCTGTGGAGCAACAGTGTTAGCAGAACACTGGCTAGCATCTGTGCAAGGGAGCTGACCCCTAATAAAAGACAGGCAAATTCAAGCCATTATTGTGAGAAACACACAAAAAATCATGAAGAACAAAACAACAACCCTCAATGGAGGTTTGAAACTATGTTCACACATTCTTTAATACCTTTAAGAAGCAGAGTCCAATTCCTCTGCCCTTGAGTATAGGCTAACTTAGTGTCTGGCTTCAAAAAAAAAAAAATAGTGGAAGTGGCATTGGATATTTTGAGAAACTCAGTCATAAAAGACACTGTAGCCTCCGCACTCTCCCTTAGATTGTTTGCACTGGGGAATTTAGGAACTAAGTCATGAGGACACCCATTCAGCCCAAGGAGAGACCCAAGGGAGGCCTCCTGCTAACAACTATGTGGATAAGCCACTAAGTGGACCCAGTCAGAATTTTCAATGACCACAGCCCTGGAAGACATCCTAACTGCAACCACAAGAGAGACCTCTGAGCAACAATTCAGCTGAGCAGTTCCCCAATTCATGAAAGATAATAAATAAATAATAATAATATATTATGTAATAATATATTAATATATTATAATTATATAATATGTAATGATTATATATAATATATTATTATATACATAATATAATATATAATAATAAATAATAAATAATTCATGAGATAATAAATGTTAACTGCTTTAAGTCACTAAATTTTGAGATATTTTTTATGTAGCAATCTATAACTGATACATTCCAAAGTGAATAAGTAGTGGTTTTTATTTTTAAAAGTTAAGAAAGTTTTATGAACTCATCTGTCACAATAACATATCACTTTGGAGGACAGTGTTAGGAAGGAGTAGGTAGATTGGGTCATTCTGAGAAAAGAATCCCACATCCATTTGTAGGTTTTGAAATGATGAACACTTATAAAAAAAAAAAAACAGATTGTCAACAAAAAGAGGAAAAACTAAGTAAGCAAAAGTCAATAGTGTAAAAACCAAGTACAGAAACTGAACGCTGCTTTTTGTTGTTGTTGTTACTGGGTATGAATTAAGGGCATCATGCTTGCTAAGCAGGCACTCCACTAGCACTGTTTCGTGTTGAGTATTTTCAAGGTAGGGTCTCGTAAACTATTTGCCTGAGCTGACCTGAAACCACAATCCTCCTGATCTCTGCCTTCTTAGTAGCTAAGATTACAGGCATGAGCCACCAGCAACCAGCCGAATGCAGCATTCTCTCTGGCCTCTAATTCATTCCTTAATATAGCAAAATTACCATTTTCTTGGCAAAACTGTTTCCTCCCTCCCCTGTCTCATCCACCTTGGCCACTAGATTTAAAGGAAATCTAACTGTGAGTGTCAGGAAACCTACTGAGGAAATTATATTCACTAACCTGAGTACAAATACTTGGCAGACAGAGTGCAATTTTCACCATATCAGGCAAAATAGACTGATATAAATGTTGAGCTTCTGCTTCTTCAAGTACCTGAAAGCAAATAAAATGTTATGTGAATAATAGTAAACAGTGAATAATAATCAATGAACAAATTTCATTGACGATATACAATTAAGAATGGAATCCCATTCTAAAGCACATTATCACCAGCAAACACATAAAAACACACCAAGAGGCTCACCAATAAACTTAAAATTTCATTTTCAAGTATTCATCTTAATGTCCTATGAAAACCTCCAAATCAAATACCTCTCATGTTAGCTAGGACCATGAACACACACACACACACAAAAACCCCAAAAATCTCTCACATCAACATTCACAATCAAATGCAATACTTATACATGAAAACCAGTATATTCTGCCCTTAATCACACAAACTGACAACTTTTAACAACCCAGGGCTCTCTTAGAAGACTTCAAGGGCCCATTTAGCTTCAACAGTTTATAATTTAAAGAAACCACCATAAAAGCTATACTAATTACTTTGGAGCATATGGTATCAGCCATATCTAGCCTGTTGAGAAATTTCTTACAACCTTTAGAATTTTTTTTCTATGTACCCTTGGGAAGTTACAATCAAAATTCCCATGTGAAGCTCATCAAAGATGACATTTGTGGTTTATTTTAGTATAATTTTCATATCTTCAAGCAAGTGAACACAAGATTATTAATTCTTAGAAAAAGTTGTACAAGACTGGAAAAGCTGTCATAGCCTATTTATGAAGTATTTATAACAGCACCCTGCTAAGAAGAATAGAATACTGCTGTAAGTGAAATGAATTTGACAATTATAGTGGGAAAACAAGGAGGCAGAAGTAAGGCTTATGTTAGTGGTGATAGGGGACAGTTAAGCAATAGCAAAATCCTAACTTCCTGCAATGGGAAAGGAAAGCCAACACATTAAAGGCTTTTGGGGAGAGTTCTGATGAAAGCTTCATCTTCATATGCCTCTTGAACTCTGATAAAAACAAAAACTTTGCTCGCTTTAAATAGTATCAGTGTATTTGTAGATGTTCTATACAGCGTCACTACACTGTATCTACTGAGTAAGAAGGAAAGCCATGTCTCACTATCTAAATGGCTGGGACTGCACAAAGCCATGGAACCACATCCTGGAAGCCACTGCAGCCCATTTGGGCCTATGACCTCTTACATGAAAATTATGGAGAACCCCCAGAAAAAACAAATTTAAAAAGTCATACATTCATAGAAGACGTTCGAGTACTTTAGATGTACCAACTAAAGATACTTATTTTCCTGTATCTGAAAATATGTAAAATACATTAATGAATTTGTTTAGAATGCTCAGACTGTTCCTGATTATAATTTATCCTTTGCTTTATTTTGAAGTATTTATAGGATGCTGCACAAATATAGTAAGTCCAGTGTACCTTTTACCCAGTTTCCCTCAATGATTATATAACTATACCACACTATCAAAACCAAGCAATTGGGATGGAGATAACTGGGCTGGAGGTGTGGCTCACCCAGTTAGGTGTGCCTAACAAGCACAAAGGCCCTGAGTTCAAACTTAGTACCACCAAAAAAAAAAGAAAGTGGTAAGACGTGTCATTTTGTGTTATTTTGTCATACACATATATTTGCACAATTACCATGAAAATCAAGATGCAGAACTCTTCCATTACAACAAAGATCTCATATTACACATTTAGAGTCATACTTGCCCTCTTCCTCTCACTTCACCCAAACCCAAGCAACCACCAATCTGTTCTCATCTCTATAACTTCATCATATTATATAAATAGAATCATACAGTTTGTTCTTTCAACTTGACTTTTCTCGCCCAGAATAATGCCCTTGAAATTCACTTGTTGCAAGAATCAATAGTTCACTCTTTCTCACTACTGAATAATGTTCCATGGCTTAAATACAATTTGTTTAGCAATTCACCCACTAAGGAGCACTTTGGTTTCGAGTTTGGGATATTATGAATTAGTATGTTTTGACAAGGCTCCCAAGGCTTCAGATGTTAAGAATGGTCATCAGTGTGGCAGTGTTGGGAAGAGGTATGGAACCTTTAAAAGGTGAGTCTATAGGGAGGTCACTGGAAGTGCTGCCCTTGAAAGAGATTAATTAGTCCCAGTCCCATGAGGATTATAAAAAGCAAGATTGGTCCCTCCCCCACCTCTCTGGCTTCCTTTCTATGTGACCTTTCCTTCTCTTACATATTCCCACCATGATGCTGCCTGCATGTGACACACACACTAATGCTAGCCCTTGAACCTGTAGAACAGTAAGCTAAATAAATGTCTTTTCTTTACCCAGGCTCGGGGATTTTATGACAGTAACAGAACAGAGACTAATATACTAATAAAGCTACCTTTTCCTCTAAAACTACCTATACTGCTGACTTCTTATAAATATAGCAGTATGTCACTTTAAAATCCCACTCTGTAAATCTGTCTTTTAATGGTAAATTTAGAATACTGACATTTAATACAATCATTATTGTTACATCTGAGCCTGCCATTCCATTTAAAAAATTTGTTTCATATTTTCTTTTCCCTTCTTTCTTATGGGTTACTTAAAGACAGTTTTGAATGTCGCTTCTATTTATCTAGAGAACTTTTGAGTGTATCTCTTTGTGTAGATTTTTTTAATGGCCACATTATTATAACATAGTTTACTGGGATCAACATTTTATAGCTCCTTTAAAATCAAGAGATTCCTCAACCCTCACCCATTTAAAAGTGATACTAATATTTTCATTACATAAATAGCCATATTAGACAGTAAAATTTTTGAAAACAGTAATAAAAATACCAAACAATTTAGAACATTCCAAGAGAGAAAAAAATGCCCATCCTATTTACTATCTTTTTTATTCTTTCTATTGTTCATTCTCTGAAGTTTTAAGATTCCTACTTTTACCATTTCTTTTCTATTTCAAGAAATTTTGGGGAGGGGGTAGGAGCAGGGGGAATGACCCAAGCCTTGTATGCATATATGAATAATAAAACAGTAAAAAAAAAAAGAAAATTGTTCAGAAACTCTTTTAGGGTAGGTCTGCTGATAACAAATTCTCTGACTTTTTCTTCATCTGAGAACGTCTGCTTTCCCTTCCCTTCCTCAAGCATATTTTTAATGAATATAGAAGTCTGATTGACCGTTCTTTTTTAGTCCTTCATAAACCTGTGCTTTTTTTCTAGCATGTATGTTTTCTGAAGAAAAATCCACTGTCAATCAAATTGGTTTTTTTCCCTGCAATGTGTCATTTCTCTCTTGTTACTTTCATACTTTTTTCTTTGATTTTAAAGGACATGTGACTAGTTTCTCTTTTTTTTGTAGGGGAGGAGTTATCCAGTTTTGTGTTCACTCACCTTTTTGGTTCTGCAGGTTTATGTGTTTTGCCAAATTTTGGAAATTTTCAGCCTCGTATTTTTTAAATATTTTTTTCAGTCCTTCACACTTTCTCCTTTCTTTCTGGTACCCCGATGACATCAGTGTTAGATATTTTAATATAGTCGCACGAGTCTCTAAACTTTTTTTAAGTCTATTTTCTCTCTTGCATTGAATAACTGTGGGTAATGTTTTTCAAGTTCACTGATTCTTGACTCTGTAATGCCCATCTTCAAAGAACCCATCCATTGCATTTAAATTAATGTAATTTCCAATTCTAATATTTCTACTTGGTTGTTCAGTTTCCTTATTACTGAGACTCTATTTCTTCATTTGTTTTGTGATGGCTGCTTCAAATTGTTACGTAATTATAATATCTATTATCTGATTTGATATATATGGATTTTCTTTCCTCACCAGTTGAGATTTTCCTCAATCTTGGTGAATGATTTCATTTTAATCTTTTTAATGTGGATATTTTGGGTGTTGAGACTTTGGATGTCACTTAAATCTTTTGATACTATACTAGTGGAAGAATGGGAAATCTGTTAATTACAGCAAACAGTAGGGTAAAATATCAGGCCTCCACTTGGCCTTCAATGCCCATGGTGGGGAGGGGATGAAGTACCCTGATTCTGTCAAATGGGTACTGTTCAGCTCCTTACTAGGTATGCTGATAGAACTCTGGTTTGATGTCTTTCCTACAGTCCCTTAGTCCCTACTCAGTCAACTTTCTTTATTTTTCAAAGTCTTATGTTTTTGTTTTACATACCAGTTCCAGTTTTGACTCTATGTAGCAGAAAGGATAGGAAGACATGCCTATTTAAACATCTTAAGCTTAAAGACACTTAGTTTTATCTTAATAGGCTGATGGCTTTTACTCCTTTGGATACCTATCTTTGTCTTAAAACTGACAATATGAGTAGCTGCTGCTATGCTCTGCTTTACAATATTACTTATTTATCTGATTAAGCAGCATTGCACTGCACTTCTTCACAACTGTCAACACTCAAAACCTATGTCTAAATGCTGCTCTGGAAGCACAAATGAGAACATAAAAAAAAAAAAGTCATTTGAGAATATAACCAACTCAACTATTGTTTGAGATGGAATGCATAATCTAAAAAACCAGCTTCACTTCCAGGCTTCACACACATCAGTATCATCTTGCAGATTTCTTTTTAACTTTTACTAAAGTACTAATTAAATCTGACAAATTTACTAGTCTATACAATACAAACTGGGATGCTAGTAGGAAAAGGTTTTGTTTTTCAATGTAAGCATTTCTTAACTTCAAGAGAAGCAAGAGAAAAGGATGAAAAGATTTTTTAAAATGAAAAAACAATAAAGAAATGAAAGAAAAAATAAATGGGGGTGGGAAATGTAACATTCTTTGGTTAAGCATTCTGTAACAAAGAAAAATAAACATTCACTGCTTATGATGATAATGATTATAAGGAAGACAGCCTATCTCAAATTTTCCCACAAGTAAAGCCCTGCCTTCTACTGGATGATCTGCATAAAAAACTATATATGGTAAATATTTCACTGTGTGTGTACATTTACCAACTTTTTATTATGGTTCATCAAACTGCTTATGTATCAATTCAAAACTGACACAATGAATTTCAGAATTACAATGCTATTTTACTCATTACCTCTCTTAATATTTTAGATCTACTCATTCATTCACTTGTCTGGTAAACAAATACTTGAGTATGCATTTTGTTTCAGGCACTGGGTCAGAAGATAGAAGAGTAAACAATAACAGACGCTGTCAATGACC